CCGGTGCAGGCCCCCCTCACCTGGATGACCACGAGAGTCAGCTGGCACTGCAGCAGGAAGAGGAAGCACTTTCGGATACCATAGGTGGCGTGCCGAGCCTAGGGACCGAGAGGGGCAGATTGTGGCCTGCGCCTGCCTGACCTTTCTCAGGCTTCCTTGCTGGCAGGCATCACCCGAGAGCCAGGTGCCCGGGATGCTCCTGCAGGGGCACGTGAAAGTGCCTGCGAGGGCTCTGCTTGGAGGACTGAGGCACGAGGCCCACAACACCCCGATGATGCCGTGCTGCTACTCCCACCCCAGGCTTCCCCGGCAGGCCCCGTGTGCCTCCTCCTCCCTGCACCCGCCCAAACCCCACCTGCTCGATGAGTCGGATGATGCTGATGGTCTCCTCTTGGCGAAAGGTCAGAGAGCAGGGCAGGCTGTTGAGCTGCCCCGACAGCTGCAGGGGAGACAGGCTGTCCGAGGACTGGGCCATGCTGGTGCTGGTGGCATAGCCAAAGGTCTCCCAGGAGCAACGGGATGGGTACAGGGGATCCAGGGCAATGCTGCTCGGGGGAGGGGACGCACACTCATCAGCGGCATGCGGTGAAGACCCAGCTCCCACAGGACCGAGTACCCCATCCCTTTTCTCCCACCATGCCAACTGCCTGGGTCCCAGCCAGGGCAAGATCGGCCACAGGATATGCCCCAGCCCCAGGCAGGCCTACTCAGGATCTGGGAGGTAGAGGCTGGCCCGCAGCTTCTCGGGTCCCGCCCTGACCTGATGTCACTCTGGAGGAAGAGGCAGCTATTCCGCAGGTTGGCAGAGCTGCCCAGGCAGCAAGTCACCTCCCCGTACTCCTGCATGATCTTTATCATCTCACACATAGCTGAAGGAGCAGGGTAGGAGAGCACAGGCAGAGCTCTGTGTGGGTGCTCGGCAGAGACTCGAGGGATAGGAGAACGGGGGGAGCCCCTCTTTGGAACAATCCCAACCCTCCCCCCACCAGCAGCAGGATCACGTGAACAGGACACACAGCTCCAGCCCATGAGACTCCCCAGCTGAACCCCAGCCCAGTTCCTT